AAAAGTGAGGAAGACATTTTATTCAGCTCTTTTAAATCTTACACTCCTAAATTAAACTCATGGTCACAGTAAGGGAGATGCAGAGATTCACAGTGGATCTGTTAACAGAACAGTTATTAGTAATGCTGCCAATTCCTTTCAGGAGAGCAGAAATAGGAAAACCAAAGTGAGAAAGACAGCATTTGGAGGACAGAGCAAACATCCCTAACTGATCAAAATCACCACTGCACGACACCCTGAAAACAGCATTCCCATTGTGAAACATGGTAGTGGCAGCATCACGATGTGGGGATTCTGTTCTTCAACAGGGACGGTAATGTTGGTTAGAGTTGATGGAAGAATGGAGCTAAAATCAAGACAATCCTGAGATGAAAAACATGTTGAACTCTAAATCATGTCACAGACTCTGCATCGCACTGATAACACCAAACTAAAACACTGTTTTAAAGTTAAGACTGTTCTTTTCATATAGGGAACAAACTGAATCTGCGTCAACAGAGAAGCTCTCCCTCAACTATGAGGGAGTTTAGTAAAGATAATGGGGCAGAAACACAAACAGCTAGTAGATTTTTACCAGAAGACTTAACTGTTACTTGTTGTTTCTGGTCAGTTAATGCATATAGTGCAAATTCAAAAGTTTCTAACACGTTTTACAAAAAAAAAAAAAGATCCAGTCACCACACAAACAGAGTCAGAGTTATTGAACACTGCTGTTAAGTTCAGTTTGTTGCTGTTGTTTTTTTTACACAGATGATCACATTCAGTCATTAACTAACAGCTTTTTCTCCCCCTGAACAAGAACCTGGCAACAGTCAAACAGTTGACTGCATTGACTTTAACTTTAGAGCAAAAGCTCAAACCGTGAGACAGCGAGGAGGAAAACTCCCCATCAATAGGATGAAACCTTGGACTGGTGCTGCTGGAGTACTACTGGTCTAGAAGTACTTTCTACGCTAAAGAAAATGGAACTACTGATTTAGAGTGATGAGTACTAGTACTGTTCTACTTACATTGCAGTGTCCATATAATCTGTAAAACTCCCTGCATAATTATAATAAAGCTATTTACATGCATGAAACAAGCGGAACACTATGGCGACAGCCGTACTGCTACACTTGTGAAAGTAAAATCTGTTGGGCTCTTTCTGGCATCAAGACAATTATTCTTATTGCCACATTGCCAGACAGGACACTGTTAAAATAAAAATAAAAAAGAGTACTGAATACACATGCAAAAGTATATTTTGTTTTTAGAGGTGAATACATTTTATTATTCTTATCAGGGGGGATTTACCATTAGGCAATACTAGGCAGTTTTCTAGGGCCCCAAGTTCCTGGTCGCCCCATAAAACTCTGTTTACATGTATGGTTAATACAAGTATTCCTTAATATAAATATACTTTCACTAAAATACCAGCAGCAAACCATTTGAAAACAAACGATGCAAAGAGCAGTGTTGCCAACTTAGCACTTTAGTCGCTATATTTAGCCACTTTTCAGACCCCTCTAGCACTTTTATTTCTAAAAAAGCTCCTAGCCACCAAATCTAGCGACTTTTTTCTGCTACTGGAGACTTTGGAGACAACATCTAAAAGCAGCGAACTCTGCTCTCCAGAGCGAGTAGATTGGTAACCCCGCCTCCTGCTCTCCTCTATCTTGTCTGCTGTCATGATTCATGCAGCTATTATTTCATCCAAATGAAAAATGGAGAACAGATAAGCAGATCATGGCTTGTCTACAGTGAAAAGAAGGACTGGGTTATTTACTTTGGCCTTTTTGGAAACACAGGAAGGAGCAATCAGCTAAGTGAGCTTAGTGCTTGGAAAAAATCTTTCATTCCTTTAGAGACAGCATGAAAAGTCAGCTGAGTACAAAACATAGAGAGGAAAACAAGAAGAAAAGGGACAAGAAGAGAGGGACACAACCTAGAACAGATAATGGATGTCTATTCTATTAACATTTCTCTATCTGGAGAATGCGTTTCTTTTATGTGTTGTCTTCTAAATTCAGACGGCCCCCTGCCTGTTTTTGCGTAGGGCCCCAAATTTCTTAAATCCACCCGATTCTTATGCACTACTTTGTGTTGGTCTGTCACATAAAGTGACATGACATAACAACGTAATGCTGAATGCATGGCTGTTTATGGTTCTGATCCGAAAAGAAAAAATATTTAAAGTTAATGTGGCACTTAAGTCTCTTATCCTCATCTGTATTGTATAACACATCAAACTTAAGTGTTTAAACTACATAAAACAACTCCTTCTCTGTTCAAAACATCCAAATGCATGAAAGACAAGAAAATAATATAAAGGAAAAACTTTACAATATCTTTTTTGCTCTAAATGTAATAAATAAAAGTCAGAAGTTTGGGTTTAGAGGTGCAACAGCTGTAACTTTCAAATTAAACCTTTATTTACGACCAAAAAAAGCTACAAATAAAAAATTTAATTGAGTGCATTGTAGTTTATTTCTTATGAAGGAAATGTTAAGGTTTGCATCAAACTGCAGCTCCAGATAGAGACAGAATGAGGAGATAGAAGAAGGGGGAAAAGATGCTGGATGGGGCAAAGAAGGAGGGGTATCTGGGAATTTAATTAAGTCCATGGTCTGGCTCTCTGCAGGCCTGCGGCACACTGCTCTAAAATGCTGATTCAGTACACAGATCCAGCAGTACAGGAGACAGAAGGAGGAGAGAACAAAAAGAGATGCAATGAGGCACTAAGGAGTAGAAGAAAGTGTTGCAATAAAGAGTCACAGACCTTAAAAATAAAAGCAGTGTGTAAATTATCTGTTGAAGGAGACCTAGTTAGAGAGCCGCAGCGTTGAAGCTGTAAACCTTGCTATAAAGTGCATGGCAGGTTTTCTGCAGTCTGTCCCGGACTTCATCAAGCATTGAACATTTTCCAGATGCTTCAGAAAGAGCAGAACTAACTCCAAGCCTGCATCAAAAGAAGACAACACTGACACCTAGAGGTGTAAGCATGACACTGACTGCAGCTGGGGACCACCATCCCACCACAGTCCAGAGGGGGAAGCCTTAAAGCATCTGTTAATAACCAGATCCGCTGATGGAGCTGAAAAACTGCATGTTTGAGACTTAAAGCCATATTGTTTCCCTGTTGGCAGCAGAGTAGAGGGTTAGTCACAGTTTAGAGTCGTCAGTCTGTCATCAGCCTGGAGGACCAAAGCGAGAGCTCATCTATAATGCATCAAACTGTCAGTTAAACCTGAGACAATACAGGAGTGAGATCAATGAAAGGCTGCACTACTTCTTTACTGTTACACAGCAGTTTTATTTCTCCTCACAACAACAGTTTTGACCTATTTTAAACATTATTCAAGTTTTTTTTGAAGGGAACTGTTACTAAACTCCATGGAGATGAAAGAAAAAATGATCAAACTGACCGTTTATTTGCTGTATTAACTGTTTAATACAATAATAGCCTTGATATCAGATCATGTTTCATTGTTGCAGGTAAACTCTGTGTCATCTGAGGTTGGAAACTAAAAGCCTCACCTTGCCTTCCTGCTCCGTTTATTACAGAAGTAAAGGTTTGATTTAATGAGGACAGTTTTTATAAGGAATCACTGCAGTATTTGGGGTCTGGAATAGTTATGGATTTCAGGACAAAGTAATAACTCACATTTTATACTGATGTATAATTAATAAGGATTTATTGCTTACTCTTCCTTTAAAGAGCTTCAGTTTTTGGAGACTTGTTTTCTGTGTGGCTCACTTAAGGCCCAATCACTACATTTCAGTAAGGCTGAGTTCGGGACTTAAGCCCAGTCCCATTTCTCTCACTTGCACACGGTTTTGCACTTTCATATGTAAGGTTAGTGTGTCCCAATAGTTATAAGAGCTAGGGCGAAGTGCCCTCCACATGGGCGTAGGTTTGCATAGGGACCATAGGGACATGTCCCTACCAACATTTTGGACCGACCTACTTGTCCCTACCAACAATTAGATGTGAATAACATGTTTATAATTTACAATACAGCTTTGTTGCAGCAGTAGAGGAGTTCTGGATGGAGGACATTGTCAGACGAAAACATTTTTGATCTAAAATGCAAAATGCTTCTATATATTTTTTACAACTTTGGTATAATTCATGCTGTAAGTGGGTGTTCCTTGAATCTATTGAAGTTTGGTGTCCCTTGAATCTACTATTTTGTTTTGTTTCATGATACAGAGAGAATATTTAAAAGATAAGAGTTGGTTTAAGCTCTGTTTACCTCTGCACAATTCTATATCCTCAAAAGAAATAATAGGATAAATCCACATATAACAGACATATTTAGACTATATTTTGTTAAATAGGCACAGATTTATCTTCTGTCTTAGTTGCTGGTAATTTCAAATGCAAACCTTTTCAAAGAGGAAAAAAGTCCTAATTCCACATTAATCAGAGCCAGTGATGCTTCAAACATTGATAAACAGCATCTAGTGTGTGTAACGCTTATAAAATTTGTATTAATGTTGCAAGAAATGTTGCTTTTCTCTTTAAACAAAATGCACCCTGATTTTCACGTCAAGCATACAAAAACGACAATGCATATTTTTGCATAGGACCAATGACATCGGACCAATAGTGTCTCTACCAAAGTTAATATCAAACCTGCGCCCTTGGTCCTCCAACCCTTAAAATGATCCATTCAGACCGATTGAGGTCGGGAGCTGACTTGGAACAGAGTGGCCTCCCAGAACTCATTTAGTGAAAGGAAAAATGCTGTCCGGCTGTTGAAAAGAACTGTTTAGATGCAAGTATATTTTTACAATTAACCACGCATTTAAAAAAATATATTTTGGGATATCTTAGACGTAAATGCAACTATTTCTTGTAATAAACAAATCTACCAAGAGTTTTTATTTTTAAGGTAAAGTAGGAGGATTCTGACCACGGTGGGGTTGATTGGAGGTTGGATGTTGGGGCTCCGCAGGGTCAGTGGGATCTAATTCACGGTTGATCCGATTGAGGGACACCGTTTTTTTCACTAGGCCGTTACAGCGAGTTGATTTCCTGTCCTGTGTGGGATCATTGCTCCGTTTCTGACCCAGTTTGAGTCAATCCTCAGCTGTCAAACTCGTCTCACACTGGAACGCCCTGAGGAGGTTATGTTCGGCTCATCATTGGAGGACTAGTTACTGTAGATCCTGAGGCTGTTTGAGATTCAAGATCTACTCTAAACATTTGACTGATAGTTGATTATCAATGTTCTGCCGAGGAGTCATGGGGCCACTCAGACACAAATAAAGGTTCCATGAAGATCTGAGCAGGGTTTGGTTTGGGGCCTCTAATATACCTCACTTGATTGAACAAGTGTTTTCACATTTCTTTAGCTGTTACAGAAATATTTCCTTAAGAGTTTTCAGTTGGAAAAAACAGGACTCCCACAAAAATATGATTTCAACCCTGAAAATTTGAGGAACCAGTGGCAGACAGTGGGAAGCGCAGCCTTTAGTCAATCCTACTGGCTTCTATCTGGTATTTAGGCTTTAATAAAGAGGCTCAAGTAGTGAAGAAGTCGAGTTTATTGTTGTGTCAGAGGAAACTGCAGAATAAAGACTTTTATTCACAACAGTTTACATAGTGCATGGTTTGATGGCCGTTTATCTATCGGCTCTTATTTTTTGCCTGCATAAATCAGATGCAATTGTCAGCTGTATTTATATTTTCTGTGTGGGGCCCCTGGCCAGCAGGGGGCCCTAAGTTGACAATGTCTCCTAATACCTGAGCATACTGTTACACATGATTAGAAAAATATCTTCGCTTTGGCTTAAAATGACTTTTAACGGAGTATCAGCAGCTAAAAACAAACACCGGCCTAAAACTGACTGAAAACATGTCGGATGTGATCAAGCAGTCGAGGTTAAGGGACCAGAATGAGTCCAGGGTGTCAGCCATGTCCGTTCGCCTGGCTCTGTGTGTGCGGGCTGAGATTAGGTTGAGCTTCGTCTTTTGGGAAGAAGCCCCAAGTGGTGAGCAGGGTGAGACGCTGGGCAGGGGGGGTGGAGAAGTACTCCTTCTGTCTCTCTGAGTAGATCTGCTCAGAGGGGATGATGTCTCTGTAGCTCCAGTCCTGGAGACAAAACCAGGAAAATGTCATCATAAAATAATCTGAGCAGAGAGCAAATCTAACAGATTACATCATATACATCATCTCAGTCAGGGATTATAAACTTTTTCAATTCTTATTCACCCTTAAAGCTTAAAAACTTTACATTCTTTCAAAAAGAGGTTATGTTTAAATATAAAAACTTATCTTGAATTAAAGACTAGGACTGCAACTAACAATTCATTTGCAAATCAATTAATCTGTCGATTCCTTTTTCAATAAATTGATAAATAATCGAATAGCCAAAGGTTCCTTAAAGAAGACTTTTTACAAAATTAAACCCGGTGAAACTAAAACTTTTCCACTTGAGGAATTCTGGATAGAGAGTATTGACAGAGAACAAAGTTTATCTTAAATGCAAAATGTTTATATATACTTTTGTAATAATTTCTGCTCTAAGTGGGTCGCTCTGCCAGCTAAAGACATGTTTTATAGTCTCTACACAGTTAACAATTAATCGATTACTAAATTAGTTGACGATTATTTCAATAATCGGTTAATCTGATTGTTTCAGCTCTATTAAAGACTTTATTCTCAGCTTCTGAAGCACAAAGGAGCTAAAATTGTTCCAGAAAGTTCTTAAATCTCTTACATGTCTGCTGTTTCCCTTGTTTGTCTAAAAGTTGAGTGGTTTACCTGCCAGTGGAAGTTGAACGCCTCCAGCAGCTTGATCCTGTCCTCTCTGGAAGGAACGCAGTCTGGAGGAGCGGGCTGCACCAGCTCAGAGCCAACCGTCACTCCTTCAAACACCAGCAGGGCTCTTATAGCGAACCAGCCCCCCAACCTCGGATGGATGCACACTCCAAACATCTTCTGCTGAGCAAACAGGTTTAATGAAAGCCAGTTGGAGGAACAGCTACGATAAATGATCCAGTGGAGAAACCAATGAGTTTGGACCAACAAACAGCCTTACTTTTCCAGCCCAGGGCTGGTCTGTGACGACAGACTGTTGGTAGTAGAACGCAGCTCCAGATACGTGTGCAGCAGTCTGGGCTAAGAACTTTGGCTTCCTGCTGGGCAGCAGCTCGTAGTCGTACCTCACATCCACCTTCAGCTCTGGAGAAGTCTGAGGGAGAGAGAGAGACGTTTAAGTCTACCAAGTGGACCAGATCTAACAAGAGCGAACAGACATGATGGAACATCTTAAACCAAACATTCATCCCACATCGACCCTACAGACTCAAACCCAGAAAGGAAAGGTCATCTTTAACACACAGAAGACAACCTTTCAGATAACAGCTCAGAGAACTGGAAGGGGAAAGTTCTGCTTTCCTAAAAGGAATGAAAAAGGACAAGTTAAAACATTAACGCAACAATATTCTGACTTGTGCCACAACTTCTCTGCACATCCTTGAGATCCCATGAGAGCTACAGCAGGTCCCATTCCACCAGGGCTGCAACAAACGTTTATTTTGCAAATCGATTCATCTGTCAATTAGTTTTCAATTAATAACTCAGATAGCAAAAGGTTCCTTAAAGATTTTTTATGAAATTAAACCAGGCGAAACTAAAACTTTTCCATTTGAGGAGTTCTGGATAGAGCAGATTGACAGCGGAAATGTTTTTTTTTTAAAATCATAAATGCAAAAGGTTTCCTCATTTTTTTTTTTTTTTTACACAATCTTGGTATAATTGCTGCTCTAAGTGGGTCGCTCTGTCAGCCAAAGACACGCTTTAGAGTCTCTACACTGCAGTAACGATGAATCAATTGCCGAATGAGTTGACGACTATTTCAATAACCACGTTAATTGTTTTGACCCTACATTCCACACACAATCAGCATGGAGCTATGAGACTTTCATCTGTATATAGAGCTAAATGTATTCACACCCCTAAAACTTAAGCAGTTTTGCCTAATTTTAACCATAAACTTTACTGTATTTTACTGGAATTTTAGGCAAAGACATAAACAAATGCATATCTGTTCATCAGATTATGACGGATTGTTTTAAATGATGTGAAAAGAGAACATTCATAGCCAGCCTCTTTCAGTTTGATACCAGTAAATAAAATCCAGAGCAACCAACTGCCTTCAGAAGCAGCTAATCAGTTTTAATTTAATTTCAGAATATAATCCAGCTGTTGTTTGAAGGCCTGAGAGGTTTGATAGAGAATATTAATGAACACAACATCTCTACTACTGTTTGCTCACCTGTGTGCTAAATGTTAAACTCACCTGACTTATATGAAACTATAATATTCAATAGAAATTATTTACTTTTGAATAAAAAAAGGATCAAATTAGGACAGTTTAAAACATGTAAATAAATATAAATATCAGGTAAAAGGCTTTGGTGATGTTTAAAACAGGCCTAGATTATAAGAAAACATCCCAAGTTTAGAACATTTAAGCTCAGTTTAATCCAACATCAAACTGGTAACAAGTAGGAGGAACTGTCAGTAGAACATCTACAAGTTCTACACTTTACAGATTTGGTATATTTGGAGGAGGAGAAGAAAAAAAGCAGCAAGAAGTTTTACTTTCATGGCACCACAGCCCATGTGAGAGACGGTGCTCTGTTCCAGGGCTGGGCAATTTCTATACACCTGCAATTTAACATAAAGCTACGTTTAAATGGCGGATGCACTCAGTTTAGGTCACATTACACTTAACAAGAGTTAAGTGTAACCCTCTGACCCTTCAGGTGGCGGTAATATGCTTAAAGTGGAATTGCTGCTAAACAGAAGGAAAGAAAGAGTTGCTGCTAGTATGCAGAACCATGTGTGAAAGAAGTAAGAATGTTTGCATACAAAGGTAAGTCCTGTGACAACAAACCATGGACAATTAAGCTTTGAATGGCATGAAAACAATGAAAACCCAAAGTGAAACATCTAAATGCTCAGGAGAATTTAAATAAAATTACAAAAGTGATTGAAAAATAAAAAAAATACAATTTTAATTTTTCACAAACATTGTTTAGAGGACACTTCATTTCAAATATGTGAGCTACTTAAAAAAAAATGTATGCATGACGGAAAACTAACACTACACACCAGCCTGAACAGATCACCCCAACAGGGGAAGCATGGTAATGGCTGCATCATGCTGTAGAAATGCTTTTGTTCCAAGCTATTTTTTTGTGATAACGCAAACTCGTAAAGGTTCAAGGAGAGTGAATAATTTCACAAGTCAACAGCGCTTGTGCTGAATTAGCTGCTCAAACCACAAAGACACGACTCACTACCAGCCTGTGAGCCTTACAGCTGGATTTACATTAGATTCCTGTTTCTGTAATAACCTGTAACACTATCTAAAATTATATAATAAACATATGACCATATCTGTAAGTGACTATCATCCAAAAATTAGTCACAGAGAGGAGAGCAGGGATCTGTTCA